TACAGGAGGAAACCTAAACTAAACTAACTTTATTTATACTGGATAGTTCTATCAGTTCTAAACTGTTCTTCCTAGAGGTCCAGTAAGGATCATCTCTTATTGATCCAGTGTTACTACAGGGGGAAACCTAAACTAAACTAACTTTATTTATACTGGATAGCTCTATCAGTTCTAAACTGCTCTTCCTAGAGGTCCAGTAAGAATTATCTCTTATTGATCAGTGTTACTACAGGAGGAAACCTAAACTAAACTAACTTTATTTATACTGGATAGCTCTATCAGTTCTAAACCTGTTCTTCCTAGAGGTCCAGTAAGAATCATCTCTTATTGATCCAGTGTTACTACAGGAAGAAACCTGAACTCAAAAACTAACTTTATTTATCACTGCAGGATAGCTCTATATCAGTTCTAGACTTTTCTTCCTAGAGGTCCAGTAAGAATCATCTCTTATTGATCCAGTGTTGCTACAGGAGGAAACCTAAACTAAACTAACTTTATTTATACTGGATAAAGCTCTGTCGGTTCTAAACTGTTCTATATTTATAAAAAAACATATTTGGCTATTTAAATATGGTTTCTTTCGGAAGGTGTCTGACTGGCATTAATTTTAAAATCGTCGAGTTTATTAACAAGGTTATCAAATTATGATAAAAACATCAACACTTTATGATAAGGCATGTGTATGGTCTGTTTATATTACGCAAAAATGCTTTGAAAGTCTCCCAGCTGTGCGGGGTCTGTCATTGCTGTGCTAGGGATGTAAATTGTTTTCATTGCTCTTGTGTCAACCGCGGGGAATCGCGTTTAGTTTATGTTGGGTATGCAATAGAGAGACTAAACTAACATTCATGCTGGATAGTTCTATATCAATTCTAGAATGTTCTTCCTAGAGGTCCAGTGAGGGTACCTCTTATTGATCCAGTGTTATTACAGGAGGAAACCTAACCTAAACTATAAACTTTATTTATACTGGATAGCTATATCAGTTCTAAACTGTTCTCCCTAGAGGTCCAGTAAGGATCATCTCTTATTGATCCAGTGTTACTACAGGAGGAAACCTAAACTAAACTAACTTTATTTATATAGCTGGATAGACTACGACATAGTCTGTGTGTAATGTGATAAGTGCTAAACACAGACTATGAATTAGCGCAGTTAATCGTGTTCTGTGACGTAGTTACTATCCAGAATCTGGATAGTCCACTGTGATTGGTCGCTACAGGATACAGCCGTTTCATTGGTCTGTTGGCGTTAATTTATTTCTATACTAGAATAAATTATTTTATTTTATTTGTCAAAATGGCGGCGGTATTTGGTGAATATTCTTGGCAAGAAGCATTTTATTCCGTAGAGGCTCTATTTGAGATAGAAAGTTTATTTCCAGAACAAAAAGAAGCAATTAAGGCTTTTATTGAAAAAGATGTCAGTATTTTCGTCAGCTTGCCAACTGGAGCTGGGAAATCCATGATATTCCAGAGTTTGCCGTTCGTGTTTGACTCGTTGTATGGCAACCCTCGAGCAACAAGTGTTCTTATGGTCATATCACCGTTGAAAGCACTCATGAAAGACCAAGTGAACTACCTTCTTGATCGTGGTATACCTGCTGTAGCTATCGTTGACGAGTTAAGTGCTGACCCTGAAATTATTCAGCAAGTTAAAAATGGTACCTATACTCTTGTTTATGGCTCACCAGAGTGCTTCCTGTCATCGAAAACGTGGAGAGATATATTTTCAGATACTGACTTCACATCAAAACTAATAGGAGTAGCTATCGATGAAGCTCACTGTATTGTTCACTGGTAAGTTTTTACATATCTATACTCCAGATATAATATTTGTCCAGATATAATATTTGTCCCAGAACAAATTGAAAAAATGACACATATTTTATTGTGAATTAATATTAATCACAATAAAATATGTCATTTTTTCTCTTATAGTTCTATTTTTCCAGGAACATTTCATTTGTATTTTCGTACATAGAATAAAGCCGGTTACAGACGAGAAAGTTTTATTTGATAAGTGCATGTGTGTATATGCAACAAATTTATATGACAAGTATTCATATGACAAGTTTTATTTACTGGTGTGGACGTGTCAGCAAAAGGTGTTTATCACCGTCATGACAGAAAAATTGTAATAGTCCGCTGGCCAATCACATCAAATGCTCAGATTACTTTGACAAGTTTTCTTTGTTGACCCACACAGATGAACAACATCTGTACTATGACAAGTGCACTTGTTCAAAAGCTAGCATGCTGGATTTTGAACAAGTGCACTTGTCATAGAAAAACTTGTCACATAAAAACTTGTCATAGAAAACTTGCTCGTCTGTAACTGGCTTAAGGTTTACTTGTTTATTATTTTTACTAGGGGATTGTCTGGAAATAAAAAGGTACCTTTCAGGAAATGGTTTGGTTGTCTTGGTGAAATCAGATCCCTGATTCCAAAAAATAACAAGATTATCATTGTAACAGCCACAGCAACAAAGGCAACCAAGTCTCAAATTCTCGAAAGTCTCGACATTACTGCAGATCAATTACATACAGTGGAACAAAACCCTAACAGAATCAATTTAATGTACATATTGTCCTACATGGATAAACAAAGAAGTCTAAAAGATGTATTCATCAAACTTATAACTGAACTTCGAACAGTTTTATGCAAAACTGAAAGAACCCTGATTTACTGTCAAACTAGGAAACAATGCTCCTTGCTGTTTCGTATGTTTGAAATAAATCTTGGTAAAAACATGTATAATGGTGCAGCTCTACCACCGAATCGGTTAGTGGAAATGTTTCATGCTGGCACACCACAGTCTGTGAAAGACCATGTGATAAAAAACATGACTGCCACTGAGAGTCACTTGCGTGTTCTCATAGCTACAGTTGCTTTTGGCATGGGGTAAATTGTAAGGAAGTCAGACGTGCCATACATTTTGGTCCATCTAAAAACCTAGAACAGTATGTCCAAGAATCTGGAAGAGCAGGGAGGGATGGAAAGAGCAGCACATGTACTATCCTTTATAATGGTCTACTGGCAGCATATTGTGAGAACGATATGAAAGAATTCCTGCAGTCCGACAGATGCCGACGCCATGAACTAATGAGGAACTTTAGTGACTATGCCTGTGTTGAAGTTAACCCTGCTCACAATTGTTGTGATGTATGTGCAAGTAATTGTGATTGTAACAGTTCAGAGTGTAGAATGAATTGGTGTTTGCTTACCCCAGACAGCCACCTAGAAATCGATGATTTGTGTATGGCAACCAGTAATGACGATAACCCACAAACTCGGCATGTTAATGAACACCATAAGCAAGAACTTATACAGAGGTTGTTGGAATTCCAAAAAAAGTTGGCTAACAGACTAGATGCCAAGAAATATGTTTCATGTCCAAATGTGTTGATGGAATTTAACAAATTCCATATTAAGCAAGTGGTAAACAATTGTCACTTACTGTTTTGCTTGGATGATGTTCTTGAACACATTGAAATTTGGCGACATCAGTATGCCTGTGTCATACTTCAAGTAATTTCCGAAGTTTTTGGTGATATTGAGTATGCATGTTCAGATGCAGATTTAAGTACTGAAAACATTTCCATGCTTGATGAATCGATCAATTCTGTGTGGAATGAACTCAGAGAGGACTCGTCATTTAATAGCATGTTTGACAGTCTAAATGTAACTGCTGATGACACTACAGATGACTGCAATGACATGTCTGACACTGAGTCAAACCATTCTGGTAACAATAGTCTATTTCAAATGTTAGTTGATTAGGGTTATTGTATATTAAGTGTACACTGTATATTGCATTGGGGATCTTTAACTTCAATATATCCACACCATCAGTGATCCACACATACAGATGTGAAGTCCATGTAATAGTTATAAAATGAGTTCGGTTTACAAAATCGTATACATTCATACCTTCAATTATATCCTTTTCAAAAATTAACACATTGAACTATAATGTGCCCTAATGTAATGTACTTTACTTTTGTGGTGTGTCTAATCCCAGACAATTTTACTTATCAAGGAAGAAGTTGGGTGTTAAAGCACTTCAGCATTACTTTTATAATTAAAATTGTATGGGAATTAGTCAGATAAACGTTTTACAATTGCATTGCTTTTGGACATGTGTCATAAGAATAACATTTTCCAGGCATGCATATGTATATACCTGTACATATATTATTTGTAATACTGTAATAATCATAAATATTTACATAGTTATATATAGTAAAACAATACCTATAAACTTTGATATATAATATACATATTTACCTAGAAAGAAATTGTGCACTTACAACATCTTTCAAGTACACTATAATAGGTTTACCCATTGTTTCTCCATATACCTTTTTAATTAACCCATTGAGCGGAAGCACTCTACGCTTACAAGTAAAATTATCTGGCGTTAGACAGAGTAAAATAATAAAGTAGGGCGCATTGCCACTTAGTCTTAAAGGGTTATGTGATGACTAAACTAGATTTGGTACTGGACTAGATTTTAAGTATGTGTAATTTGATCCAGTCCAAGGTAATTTGGTCCAGAAGACTGGGTCAAATTGCAAGGACTTGTAATCTAGTCCAGTCCAAATTGGAAGTTTTGGAATAACATCTCAAATCATTAATAATTCATGAGTAAATTAGTCCATATTGCTTTATTTTGCTCACATGATAATATTGGATACCTGGTGAAGTATATTGATCCAGTCCTAGGACTTACTTTAAGTAGTCATTAATCCTATTTTAGTCCTTACTTTAAGTAGGACTTACTTTAAGTAGGACAAGATTTATTGTTCTCGCATTTTGATCCAGTCCTCAGCTTTGCCTCGGACTAGATCAAATTGTGCGGACTTGAAATCTAGCCCAGTCCTCATAGTTGGATTTGAAATAATACCTCAAATGAGCAAATCAGTACTTAAAGTAAGGTGAATCAATTTTGATCCAGTCCTAAGGACTGGACCAATGCATGTCGATACTCAGCTAAATTACCTAGCTCTTCTATGTAGAACAAGATTTTCCTTATGTTCGTTTATCCAACTAAACAGTTTTTGTAAATCCAAACCATGTAGAAGACTTTGCTTCATATTTTTAAAATGGTGGTATCTTCTTCCTTCGGTCATATAGAATGCTCTTTCAAGGAGAAGTTCATCTACAATCTTTAACAAATCATTCTGTGATGATGTAGTTATGTGCTTGCCAGATCTTCTGTACACAGAAAGTTCATGGTCAAACTGTTTCATTAACTCGTTTGTTATACCCATAGAATGTGCAATTCTATTTAGAGATGTTTTAGAAGCATTTGGACCAACATTCTTGACAGCTGCCTTCATCATTCGGTTATAGAACTCCAGCTGAAGATCAAGTGGTATGTTGCCACCAAGACCATTTTTAGTCTTCACTGACCGGTTCCAAATCAATCGTTGAGCAGCTTGTGGACTTAGAAGAACATTGATTTGACACAACAGGTATAAAGCCTCAAGAGAATACTTTACGGTTGACTGCCCTTCTGCTCGAAGATACAACAAAAAGAATCGCCAGCATCTCATTATGCGTTCACCATCCCCTTCTGATATGGCGTCCCAAAAGTTCAGAATGAGCATGCCATACTCCAGCAGTGCCTTTTGATAGGAGAACATGTCATCCTGTTCTTCGTCAGATAAAGTGGTATCTACAACAACAGACTGTTCAATGATCTCCAATATTGGTGGATTATGGTTTGACTCATGATCCTTCATTCTCTTGCCATACTTTGCAAAGGATTTTTGACAACCCTCATATCGACACCGATATCTATTGTTGTCATCCAATGACAATGCCTTAGCTTTCTCGCAAAGATTGATGCAGTCCAAGCATTCAAGAATCCGCTCATTCTTGCTTTCATCAATGACAAACATGTCAACAACCTTGGCACATACAAATTCAAGATAATTCTTCTTATCTTCTTTTGAGGACTCATCCCCTGGAAAAGGTATACCTGGTTTTTCTTCTAAGTTAGCCATGTTCAACACTTTCAACGTGGCAGCAATAACACGAGCGTGGACCTCCAGAGTGAAGAACTGTCGACAAGGGTTGACTGCAGAGGACACGTCACTTTTCACATTCCGTCTATTGATGAATGTACGATCAGCATACAGTGTACATTTGTCATAACCAGATGATGCGCTGTAAAGGTTCTGAAATGCCAACTGTAAAAAGACATATAATAATATAAAATGCAGTGTCATAATAGCTTGTTGATCTTTCGACTGTGTGATTATTATAACTGCACTCAGTCCCCCTAAACATTGTCCACTAACATCAGTCAATTGACAACATTCGCAGACATTTAGAAGGCACTGCATAAATTTTCTCCAGTATTTAACAAAAATATTAATTGATTTAGTATATTATACCTGTAAGAATCTATTCCCAGAATGCCAGTCTGCAACCTCAGCATGAAGGCCAGTGCACTGTTCCTTCTCTGTAAATCCATTTGCAATAGACGCATGACCATTTACAAATCTCTCCACAGTGAGCTGATCCCCAACAATCCCTTGTTCTCCATACTTGCCATCAGTCCCATCTTCATTCTGACCATGAGGAACATACTGGTGTAATTCTTTGATTACATTGGTGATACCATCAGCGTCATTTTCGTTTTCATAAATTAGACCCATGAATGTCTAAAAATTCGATATTTAATATTATGTACATGATTAGACGTGATTACATAAGAATAACAAATAATTTGATTGCTATAGAAGGTACTTTGTCCCATCTCTAATAATTGACTGACTGAACAGCCGTCAGTTGATGAGCTTTTTCCAAGCTTCATCACATTGTTTGGAAAACATGGAAGACTTAAAATAATTTCTAAGCTCTATCTAATAATTAACCCTTTCAGTGGCAATGTGTCCCACTTTATTATTTTACTCTGTCTAACGCCAGACGATTTACTTGTCAGGGGGAGAGTCTGAGTGCTACCACTCAATGGGTTAATTTATTATAATTATGTACAGTATGTTGTCAAAAGTAGCTAGGGTAACTGTACCGGAAGTAAATGGTACGATTTAGTTCTAGGAAGAGTATCTGTATCATGTTTTCTTTTGTGAGCGACCTTTTTGAGATTTGTGAGTATTAAAACATTGTTTTTGGTTTGTGATTTATGATTTATTGTGATCGTGGGGGGACATTGAACAACATTCCCCACAAATATGTTATAAAATGTATTATTTTGTATTGGTATATTTGTGACTATAAAATTTTATTTTATTTGAAGCTAAAGTTTCATATTAAATACTTAAGGGTAATAGGATCAGGCTACCTTGAAATTAGTAACAAGAACAAAATTTTAGATGACATCAGGTCCTTTGATTGGAACATAAAGTTCTTGTGACAATTTTAATGTTGTTTGATCCTATTATCCCTCAAGTATATTGTTCATTGCTACCTACAATGAAATATTGCTACCTACTGTACAATGAAATCCCAAGCTCAAAATGGTGCATAAAATCTAACCATTATGCAGCAAAAATGCAGTAACTATTTTTCTTTTTCTCTAACTAATGGAATACATCAATACAATCTTAGTCACCAAGGGTTAATCTTGTGCATTTAGCTTCTACAGAAAACTAAACATGTAACAATACAAGTAACCTATACTATATCCCTAACAATCCGAAGTGCATTGTTGTTGTTATCGCTACCAACACTGGCACATACTGTTAAAGGTTATTATAACTAAAAATGTACTCTGTCCAGTAAATCTACTTACAGTATTCGTCTTCTTTGCCATTTGCGAACTGTATTTGTGTGGTATATGAGATGTGACAACATCAGCCAAGAATTTCAGACATGGTATATTAGCCACAAGTATTCGACCAACTAAAGTAATGAAATTCTTTCTCTGCAATTGGTGGTCATCATCACTTGGTATGAATTTTCCATTCTCAAGCTTCATAATTCCATCTTCTTTCTTCTGGTCACTGAAGTCTACAGCTCCTATTCTGTTCTCAGTTGACATCACAGTGACATGATGAACATCGATGTTCTGATGCTCTTCTGTCATATGGTGCACATTTTGCCGGTAATCAAAATTGTCAATTGTGATTTTCCGCCCATGGTCACATGATTGTTGGTCATCAGACTCCACCACTTCAGGATTCCTTTTCAGAAACAGGCATTGATTCTCAACAGCATTTAATATTTCATCACGATACCCAGCTCCATATTCGTCCAGTTTTTTATACAAATATGTATGTGATGTTGTTATTCGTAATGAGGCCAGTCGTGCAAGGGTTGCCTAAATAATTTATAATATATACAATTTTGCACACTTATTGGATCATTAAACTATTCTATTTTTCATGTAGCTACATGGCACATCAAAGCTGTATGCAAGCATACTCTATTCTTCACTACCTACATTGGCACGTCACAGTCAAGATTATAATTCAGATAACGTTAACCAACTAATCCACAATTATATTTTGTTATAATAAATCAGTTGTCAGTTGTAACTCCCAATCTTAGGGAAAGCTGAAGACGCAGAATTTTAAACCCCAAGGGCCAAGACCCCCCCCCCCACACACACTCAGGCAAACTGTGCTAAATAATAATAATAATTAATTATAATAATAATAAAGACTTTATTTGAATCAATACACATGACACTAATATTAGTAATAACACCAAAATATTCTAAAATAATATGTATAGTATTAAAAATGAAAATAGATATACACACCTGCCATCCAGAGTGGTAGTTGAATATTGTAATTAATAATTGTAGCGCATTCATAAATCTTGACCTGTTTCTCAGGCAAACTGCTGCAGCCATACCAACAGCAGGTGACCAAAATGTTTCAATATTTAAGCCATTCTTGTTTGCCCTGGATCTACTTCGAGGGTTCACACAAGCAGCAACTAACACGGAAAATGTCAATGGGGCTCTTTCCTTCAGTTCCTTGTTAAAATGTTCGATTGAAAATTTCAACATATTTTCCTTATTCGGGCTCCTTAGACAGCTTGGATTTTTCCTTGAGCAAAGATCAGAACATTCTCGGTTTATGTCATTTAACATTAACAGTTGGAGTTGTTTCTTGATGTTTGTGTTCTTCCATGCTGCGTTCGCTATCTGTTTGTATGTTCCTCGTACAAGCATTTTTCCTAGCGACTCTAGATCACCTGGCAACTTTCGTTCAGCATTTTTACTGGGCCACTCAACTTTCACATACACATTCGTAGATTTAGGGCCCTCTTCTGAGTTTTCTCTATGCTTAATTGGGGACACAGGCCATTGTGGAGCTATATTATCTGGACGTACAGGTGAACTGCAACGAGAACTGGAAGATGGCCGCTCTATCGTTTCTGTGCTTGTACTAGACGAACGTTCACCCTCATTTCCACAATGTATTTTAATACCAACACTGTCCAAACTGATATCACTTGTTCTTTTTAGCGAAGAGCTTGACGAACACGTTGATTTAGTTTGAATAGTGCGATAAAACTCGTCAATACACTCAATTTGTGTGATGAGGTTTCTTCGTTTCTTCAGCTTTTTAACACATCCAGCGCAGATAAAAGGACTCACTCTTTCTACTTTGAAAGAAAAACTTTCCAGTTCAGGAATTACTTTGAAAGCTCCTTTACCTTCGACACGATGCTTTTCATTAATTTTCACAATAACATTCAAACACAATATGCAAATTTCCGACATGTCATCTACATACTATTCTTTCATGCGCACATGTTGCATAATTATGAAATCACAATCTAAATAATTTTCCGCTAGCTCATCCGATGCATAATTTGCATATATTATAGAACACGTAACCTGGCACTAATGCACAGACGCTACTTAGCGCCCCCATTTCCGCCCACGAGCGTCTGTAACTGGCTTAAGGTTTACTTGTTTATTATTTTTACTAGGGGATTGTCTGGAAATAAAAAGGTACCTTTCAGGAAATGGTTTGGTTGTCTTGGTGAAATCAGATCCCTGATTCCAAAAAATAACAAGATTATCATTGTAACAGCCACAGCAACAAAGGCAACCAAGTCTCAAATTCTCGAAAGTCTCGACATTACTGCAGATCAATTACATACAGTGGAACAAAACCCTAACAGAATCAATTTAATGTACATATTGTCCTACATGGATAAACAAAGAAGTCTAAAAGATGTATTCATCAAACTTATAACTGAACTTCGAACAGTTTTATGCAAAACTGAAAGAACCCTGATTTACTGTCAAACTAGGAAACAATGCTCCTTGCTGTTTCGTATGTTTGAAATAAATCTTGGTAAAAACATGTATAATGGTGCAGCTCTACCACCGAATCGGTTAGTGGAAATGTTTCATGCTGGCACACCACAGTCTGTGAAAGACCATGTGATAAAAAACATGACTGCCACTGAGAGTCACTTGCGTGTTCTCATAGCTACAGTTGCTTTTGGCATGGGGGTAAATTGTAAGGAAGTCAGACGTGCCATACATTTTGGTCCATCTAAAAACCTAGAACAGTATGTCCAAGAATCTGGAAGAGCAGGGAGGGATGGAAAGAGCAGCACATGTACTATCCTTTATAATGGTCTACTGGCAGCATATTGTGAGAAAGATATGAAAGAATTCCTGCAGTCCGACAGATGCCGACGCCATGAACTAATGAGGAACTTTAGTGACTATGCCTGTGTTGAAGTTAACCCTGCTCACAATTGTTGTGATGTATGTGCAAGTAATTGTGATTGTAACAGTTCAGAGTGTAGAATGAATTGGTGTTTGCTTACCCCAGACAGCCACCTAGAAATCGATGATTTGTGTATGGCAACCAGTAATGACGATAACCCACAAACTCGGCATGTTAATGAACACCATAAGCAAGAACTTATACAGAGGTTGTTGGAATTCCAAAAAAAGTTGGCTAACAGACTAGATGCCAAGAAATATGTTTCATGTCCAAATGTGTTGATGGAATTTAACAAATTCCATATTAAGCAAGTGGTAAACAATTGTCACTTACTGTTTTGCTTGGATGATGTTCTTGAACACATTGAAATTTGGCGACATCAGTATGCCTGTGTCATACTTCAAGTAATTTCCGAAGTTTTTGGTGATATTGAGTATGCATGTTCAGATGCAGATTTAAGTACTGAAAACATTTCCATGCTTGATGAATCGATCAATTCTGTGTGGAATGAACTCAGAGAGGACTCGTCATTTAATAGCATGTTTGACAGTCTAAATGTAACTGCTGATGACACTACAGATGACTGCAATGACATTTTAGCGCCCCCATTTCCGCCCACGAGCGTCTGTGACGCAGGCTAATAGCTGGATAGCTCTATCAGTTCTAAACTGTTCTTCCTAGAGGTCCAGTAAGGATCATCTCTTATTGATCCAGTGTTACTACGGGAGGAACCTAATCTAAAGAGAACAGTGAGATTTTCCAAACAATGAAAAGACAATATGGTCAATGGAACATCTCAATCACTGGTATAGGATTATTGTTTCGTAGTGTTGTGCGAAGGTGAAATAACCCGACTGCAAATATTTATGCCGTTGGCTTAGCAACAATTAAGTACACTCACATGTTTTATTTCATTTCATAGACTGATTTTGAAGGAAAGGAAGAAATGACAAAAAACAACAACAAAATGTTCTAGGACCTTCTAGGAATTCTCTTCACGTCAACAGGTAAATAGGTTATAAATATATATCGACGGTGTGCACGAGAGACCCTTAACTCTAATAGACCTTTCCCCTTATGAGTGAAATTTTGATCTAAACAAGTCTAGACAAAAATTTCATCACAGCTTGAAAGAGCATCACAAAATTAGTAATAGTGCGAAGTTTCGTTGCGAAATGTTGTAAAATGCGGATAATATAGCCTTGCGAAATTTGCAGTTTTTCAGTCATTTTGCATTACAAACGGGAAATTGATAATCAGATGATCAAATTGATTATCAATTTCCCATTTGTAATACAAAATGACTGAAAAACGGCAAACTTCGCAAGGCTATATTATCCGCATTTTACAACATTTCGCAACGAAACTTCGGACTATTACTAATTTTGTGATGCTCTTTCAAGCTGTGATGAAATTTTTGTCCAGACTTGTCTAGATCAAAATTTCACTCAAAAGGGGAAAGGTCTTATTGAATACCATGACTGGCTTTCATCCGCGAAATATACAGGCAGTTAGGCTTTTACGTACTATTTAAAACATGATAAAACACACACTGCAAATGTTTTAAAATCCATCTCGTAAGTTCATTGGCGAAGTAATTTTCAAAGAATACGTTGTGTAAGTCGAGAAAATCAAAGTTAAAGTTTATGTAAATCAAGGGAAATCTCTATCACATATAAAGATACGACACGCTTATGATTTTTCTTTGTGTTTTCCTCGTCAATTCATTAATGAGTTTTTGAATGTATAGAATTGCAACTGAAATTCTTCGGCAACTTTCTGCCGGGTAAAATTTTAGGTTTTCAAACCCCAACTGGCAAGCGCATAGAAATGCAGACGTGTTGGTACGTGCTTAGGATCAGTTTCGATCGTTGAGGTAATCATTTCAAATCTTCCACACGCAGAACGTAGGAAACGCCATTTCAGAAACTCTAGATTTCAAGAGATTTCCGAAGGAGCTACAATCTCCATAACTGGTGGAGACTATATTTTTCCCGCTGTAGAAAATTCGCATATTTTTATGATAAACTCCATGTTGAATCATGTTGCCTTTCTTATATATAAGCCCCCGCTCCCCGACTTATTAAAGTTAAACCAAATAACTTATTAAACCTGACCGCGTAGCTCAGTTGGCAGAGCATTGGGCTAGTATTACAAAGGTCGTAGGTTCGATTCCCACCGTGGCCAGGCATATTTTTCAAGCCTGCATGCCCGGTGTGGATATACACTCAGAGTAACATCACAAACATCTTATTCACCTGAGTACATTACACCAACACAGCAAATATCAGAACTTATTAACTTAGTAAAATTGCAAAATTTGGTTACGAAATGTTGTAAACTATATGATGGAAAATATAGCCTTGCGAAGTTTGCATATTTTGTATATGTTTGTATTACGCGCGGAAATTGTTACCATTTTTGAGCCGAAAATGTGGTAACAATATCCGCACCTAATACAAACATATACAAAATTTGCAAACTTTGCAAGGCTATATTTCCCAAGCTTTACAACATTTCGCAACCGAACTTTTGCAATTTACTAATTCCATATTATGTCCTTTTTAGCTGTGATGTTTGATTCCCTTCGCTTTACTTAGATTAAAATTTAGTCTAAAATGCAAGTTGTCCCGATCACATTGAACGGCTATTATAGAATTGATTGCTATTTTGCGCAAATTTTAAATTGCAATTAGCAGCAACTGCCTATACCGGTTAAGCCTAAGGTCGACTTTCAGTATTAATACAGTATATATACAGAAATAATATTCCACAACAATTTCATTAAACTGACCTTTATATAGAGTTTAACTCGCTTTTCTTTCAAGATAATTTTGAGTTCTTTTAGCACAAAAAAGCCCCACTATATTCTATAACGATGGTCTGCAACGCAAACAGATTGATATTAGCCTAAAATGCTAAATACTGCTTGAAATACGACTACGCAAATACGAATCCTATTTGCACCGCGAATTTCCGAATTTTAATGCCTTTTAAATGAATATGTCAAAGCGGTGAAAACATATTATCATATATATGTATATATATACAAATTATGCATGACATGTCTGGCGTCCGGGAGAGCGAAATTGAACCATCATCGAGCTATTATTAACGTTAGGTTCACCGACTATTAAAGTTTCTGTTTGAGGGAATGTTTGATATAGTCTAAACTAGCCTTTATATAGCTGCATGCAAAATTCCCGTAAATTCTCATTACGTTTCGTTTGAAAGCGGTGTACATACCTTAGGAGACATTAAATTTTGATCAGTTAACCTGATCGGAACGGATTTACGAGGCAATTTTTTTCAATGGGCGCTTTCCATTTAATGGCCTGACCGCGGTCAGACTGGAATTCTTTTCTCTGTAATCCCTGTATCAATGGAAAGATCTGGTCGATGTTTCTCAAATAGCTAGTGAAAATGGACCTCACTGTTCTGATGTTATCTAAAGGTCGGAAGCCCAAATGCTTTGTGTTCCATTCAACAATTTGACCGTTCTCGGCTGACAGGTCTGGCCGTGTTAATTGAAAGCACCCAATGTCTCGTATTTTAAATGAAAAGTGTTCACAAAACCTAAAATCTTTTTGGCTTTCCTCTCAAAATTACTTTGTTTTAGCTTTATCAGTGTAGTTTACACCGTTATAACATCCTTTTAAATGTATCTGGCGGTTGAGAAACACAAAATAATAGTTAAATATTGTCAATTTAAATACAATTATCATTGATGCTGTAAAATTGACGCCATATTTCTACAGCAATATAAGCAAAACTTACTGAACTTCAGACGTCATTTTCCCTTTGGTGTACCATCTAAAATCTCTTCATTTTAGCAGAACTTTACAGATAAAGCACTAAACATACTTTTGAAGTTTGTTTCCCGCTTGAGAGACATATTAAAAATTAAAGAATTGAATATAGTTATAACCAATTGGAAAAATATATTCATTAGTTTTCGGAGCGCGTGTTACGTAACATACAAAAGATTCTCCTCTTAAAAATAGATCGCTGTTTCTTAAAAAACGTCAGATAAATATACTGAAAACCACTCCGTGTTGTCAAAAAACCAGGCTAAACCCAGTTTATTTTGCTTAAATTATCAACTACTTATACTGGGAAAGAACATCGATTAAGATTCTCCAATTAATTAGCGAATATTCGCTTTTAATACTCGTCAAAATTAGCCAGTATTGTTTGAGATAGTTATCGAATATAGTTTATATAAAACCAGCTGCATGTCTGGTCTGAACGTAACCGATTAGCTTTTCGGTCGCAAACAGACGATGAATTTGCATGAACGTTAATTAGTCGTTCATTAAATTTCCTGTCAGTAACATTTCCCCAAGTAGAGGAAAGAGCCTGGGAACGAGGTTGTTCGCCAACTGGTTGTGTATAAAGTCGCACCTGAAAAATTAGGTATGAGCTTAGGCCAATCATGGATAATAAAATAAATGGATAGGACTCTAGCTGACGTAAGCAAAAACAACCTAGTTGCAATCTGTGACGTCACACGTATTGCAAAGTTCCCGGCATTTTTGTTGTTTCGCTATCCATACTTTCCGCTTTAAAAGAGTAATATTGAAGCATAAACTGGTCTAATTGTTTTAAAAACATGCCTAAGCCACGACAAAGTATTCAAGGTAAATGTTTTTCGTCTTTGTTTTGTATTTTTTTACATTTGTAGCTACGAAATTGACGTCCCAAATTTTAACGAAATTTGGGATGCATTTTTCACTGTTTAGTGCTTGAAATATTTGCTAAAATTGACTGGGAATACTTAGAGATTTCATCGTAGAATGGCGTAGTTATATTCATTTGCTCTTTGACTAAAATGTTTAGCTGTATTATTGCTAAACATGCCGTTTTTGAGAATTTGGTTTGTAACTAGGCTTCAACATCCAATCACGCCATCAGCCCATTGAAAACATTAGGTCACGTCAGCTAGTTTCCTATCCATTTATTTTATTATCCATGGGCCAATGGAAGTGAGGTTGATGTTTACCGTCACCCGCGCGCGTCTATTTTAGCCACCCGCGCGTGAAATTTTTCATTATTTCGTGGTTTTTTCATTATTTGTCAAATTTATATAGGAATTGTTTCAAAAATGGCTTTCTGTTGAAATTATTGGCAAATACCGACTTTGTTTATACAGTTAGCCACAGCCGGAAACGGAGTCAAAGATATAGCTCGGAAGCTAGCAAAAAGCTCAAGAATCGTCAAACTTTTCTTGGATTTTTTCGGTCCGCGAAATTCGGAGTTTTAGCTCAAAATTTGACAAATTCAAATCGTGAAAAATAATGAATAATGAATAATGAAAAAAATCCGCATCAACTTTTGAAATTTTAGCCGGTGACGGTAAACTGATACCTCACTTCCATTGATGGCCTTTATATCATAAAATATATACTAGATGGACCATTTGGAGCTTCCATGTGTTTTCAGTTTATTACGCCGTCACAGGAACCGCCGAGGATTTTAATTTTTAGTTTAAATATAAAACAAGGCCAAGGGTATTTATAACAGACTTGACCTCGTACTCAGTTGGCAGAGCCGATGGTCAGGCTAACTTTTCATCAGGGCGCTTATATATATAAGCGCCCTGCTTTTCATGCAGCCTGCCCGGTGTGGATATACTGCACTC